AAGTGCAGGGGAATGAGCACCCTTGGGACCACGTTTGAACAATGGGGGAAGAACAATGAGTAAGTGGTTTCACCTTTACCAACTCCTACCCCCCACAGATGAGAAAGTCTGAGACACATTCCTTAAGACTCCTCAGAAAGTCCCAGCAGGTCTGTGTAGCTTCCCAGTGACAACTGACAACAGGCTCCCTACTGGTGACACGTGTTCCTAGCTTCCTGTTACTTAGTCCTGGACACACCTAAGTCACACTGACTGAAAGGAAGTAAGAGTGCTGAGGTCAGAGCATCAGAGTGGAATACAGAGAGACAGAGGGAAGACACGGGGGATGCTGGCCCCCACAGAGAGGGGAAGCAGAACAGCTATTCTTGTGAGAAATATCTTATCTGTCTAAGGGTCCATTGGCCCTTTCTGAAAGTCAGAACATTTTTCCATCTAGTAAACCCGCAAGTAAAAATTAAAAAAAAAAATGAATAAAAGTTTCCTCACAGAGAAATGCAAATCAATACAATGAGGTATCACCTCACACCAGCTGGAATGGCCATCATTAAAAAGTCCACAAACATTAAAAGCTGGAGAAGCTGTGGAGAAAAGGGAACCCTCCTACACCGTTGGTAGGAATGTAATTTGGTGCAGTTATTATGGAAAAACAGTATGGAGATTCCTTAGAAAACTAAAAATAGATTTACCATATGATCCAGAATCCCATTCCTGGGCACATATCCAGAGGGAACTCTAATTCGAAAAGATACATGAACTCCAATGTTTACAGAGGCACAATTTATAATAGACAAGATATGGAAGCAAACTAAATGTCCACCGACAGATGACTGAATAAAGAAGTTGTGGGATAGATAGATAGATAGATAGATAGATAGATAGGTAGGTAGGTAGAAAGAAAGATAGAATGGAGTATTACTCAGCCATAAAAAAGAATGAAATAATGCCATTTACAGCCATGGATGGACCTGGAGATTATTATACTAAGTGAAGTAAATCAGAGAAAGACAATATCACATAATATCATTTATATATGGAATCTAAAATATGACACAAATGAACTTATTTACAAAACAGAAACAGACTCACAGACATAGAAAACAAGCTTATGGTTACCAAAGGGGAAGGAGGAGGGATAAATTAGGAGTTTGGGATTAACATATACACACTACTATATATAAAATTGATAAACAACAAGGACCTACTATATAGCACAGGGAACTAGAGTCAATAGCTTATAATAACCTATGCTGAAAAAGAATATGAAAAGGAACACATATGTATATATACGTATAACTGAATCACTATGCTGTACCAGAAACCAACACAACATTGTAAATCAACTATACTTCAATTACATAAAACAGTCTTCTCAAAGATCTTCAACAAGATCGTTCACAGAGACAGATTTCTGGATCTCACATTTCTCAAGACCCTCAGCATTTGCTGTGTGGAAGATTTGAGCACAGATCCTCAGGAGAAAAGATGCCAAAGCTAACAGTTCATTTGCATCTGACTGTTTCTGATTGAAACCAGTGCCCTCCTGCAGAAGAACGAATGAGTCGATGGAAACTAATTCATCAGGAAGCCATGTGATCAGCTTCTTCTCTCCTGTATCTGGTCCTCAATCATGAAATCAGTAGCTTACCAGGCACCAGCAACAGAATGGTGTGGGAGCTGCAGGGGAAGTGTTAGAACACTCTCTGAGACAACTCAGTCTGGCCCAATGTGTCTTTCCGTAAGAGGGCAAAGGCTGGCCCCAGGGCTCACCTCTGCTATGGAAAGCCGCACCAAGCAGAAGCTACTTCATAGGCCCTTAAAAGTAATAGCTACTGGGGGAGGGTATAGCTCAAATGGTAGAGTGTGTATTTAGCATGCACAGGTCCTGGGTTCAATCCCCAGTACTGCCTCTAGAAATAAATAAATCTAATTACCCACCCCCCCAAAAAAACTTAAAAAGAAAAATAGTAACTTTAAAAGCAGTAGATATTGAAGAATCCATGCTCTCTGACCCTGGAATTTCATTTCTAGAAATTCCCTTTGTTTCCTTAAGAAAACAATCAAATATGTACAAAATTTATGTTTTTAAAATGTTCATGAGAACTTTATTTAAATGAATGGAGAAAGAGAAGCCTGAATGTCTACCAATAGAGGAACTGGTTTAAAAATGTTTGGCTCATCTGTATAATGGGCGCAATCATTAAAATTCACATTATCTGAATTTCTGCTTCCAGTCAAGATGGAAAAACAGAGAGCAGACTTATCCCTCCATCTGAAACAACCAGAAAAAAAAAAATCCCCAGACAAGTTACATTAAACAACAGTTTTCAAGACACTGTACACCCGGCAATGAATGTCTCTCCCTGAGAGATGGGAAACAAATGAGGGGAGCTCTAACGTTGCCCCAGATTATTGCCTTGAGAGAGTTTCCAGACCAAAGCACAGGGAAGTTGAGGCAGAAACCAGTGGCTTCCCTGAGTCAAGGAGACAGAGCTGAGACTGGAGGCACTAGAGTTCACAGCACAGAATCAGACAAAAGAGAGGTGTCCAGAGAGAACCCTGGAAATCTGCAGAGAATCCCCTCAAGTATCCAACAGAGTGTTTCTCAGCCTGTGGAAACTACCCCAGGCCACGGCAAGCACCACCCAAAAGCATCAGAGGGAACAGTACCTCTTCAAGCATACCTAGAATTTAGAAAGCAGTTTATTGCTTGATCATATATATATATATATATATATATATATATATATATATATATTCCTTAATCCTTTCATTAATAATTTCACACATTTCATTTTTTCTGACTCTTGTCACTAATGCATGTTGGCCATATTCAAACAAACAAAAAAAATCACTTCATGTAAATATTAAGGAAAAAACTCTGTCTGATTGAGATAAATAGTAAAGACAAAAAAATAAATGTCACCCATTTAAGGCATTGGCAAACAGTTGCTAGTAAACTTAATTTTTTTTCCAATATCAATAATACAATGTGCTTTAAAAACTAGTTTTTATTTCTCACCCTTGAATTCATTTACACATGACGTCAAGTTAAGATAAATTCAAATCATGCTGATGTTTGCTGTAAGAAAGTGCGCTTTGTATGATGTAAAGCTCTTATACCTAAATTAACCTTGAACCTCAGGTTTACTGTTTTTAATGATTTAGCTTATTGCACTATCTGTTGTGACATCATTAAATTGTTAAATACTTCCCATATTTCCTCTCATTCTTCGTTTTCTTAGATTGAAGATTTCTAATTCTTTGGAATCTTCCTGTTATCCCTATAATCATCTCAGTTGTTAAATCTCTCTGGGCATTCGTTTTTTACTTTAGAGAACAACCGTCATTAATGGCTTCTAGAAAGGATTCAAACATGATCTCCACATTGTCGGTTCCACATGCTGTGAATCCTGCCTTCCAAGGGAGAAATCTATTTAAACAGCTCTTCTCCCCAGCTCCTTTGCAGCCAGGGTGCAGACCTGAGTCTTTAGTTGGGACATGAGCCACATGAAGCGTGGTCTAGGCAGGGACATCCCTTTTCTTGGTGGGGGGCAGTAGAGGCTATCTAGTTCTGGGCTTGGTAGCAATAGCATCTTCCTCATTGGTCCAGGAGCAGTGACTTCCTGGGTGGGCCAGTTTGGCTGCATATTCTGTGGCTGGTGATGACACTGGGGGCAACGTCCTGTCCAGGACCTTCAGCACCACCATCACGCTGTCTTGTGACTGGGACAGGGACGGAGACCTCCTATATCCATACAACTAGCTGGTCATCGCTCTTAGAAGTCAGGCCCAGAGTCTGCTTCTCCAGCCTGCCTAATGGCCTAATGATTCTGGGAGTTATCTGCTATCCCTTCCAAAACCCCTATTTGCTTAGACTAAATAAAGCCAATTACTCATTCTTTCTTGTCATGTATCACACAGACATTTCACAGCCTTTACTCTGAAGCCCACCAGCGGTTTCAATTCCAATATACTTTAAGCTCAGTCTTAGAGCTGCTTAATCTTTTCAGAGCACATTTGGCTCATCTTAACAAGGAACATTTGTGATGTTTTACGATGACTTCCGGTTCCTTTGCCTGGCAAATCCGCGACAACGAAAAAGAACAAAGCCGATGTTGATGACTGACCCAAGACACAAGGAATGAAAACACAGTGGGTCTCATAAGCCAGATTCCAAAAGTAGAACCTCCTGAAAGATTTTCAAAAAGCTTTCAATTGCCACGGATATGGGAATGAGATAAACTGAAAACTTTCCAAAGGCTTTTCCTCTTGCAGTGTTTTCACAACTTCACAAAATAGCTTTGCCAGATTTCTTTCTGACCCCAGAGCGAGTGAGGATCTGAGATACAAAGGGCCTTTGAATTTCAAATTCAGTTAAAGACCATTTTCCTCCTTGGGTGGGAGTGGGGAGGCAGTACAAAGACTAAATTTAGCACTTACATCAATGCCATTCTTACCAGCTCATATGAAATCAGAGTTTCCAGTCACTTGGCTAATCTTTACCCATTCTTTAAATTTTGAATTAAATGTCACTTCCTCAATGAGCACTTTCCTGCCCCCTTAATCTAAATTTGTTTTATTGTTTCAAAGAACCCTGTAATATTTTTGAAACAGCAAAACAGGTTTTGTTTTGTAGGCCTTCTCACGATTTCTATATATTTCTTTGTGATTATCTGTATAATAAATTTCTGCCTTTCCCATTAACCTCTAAGCTTCACTGAATATTCTGTGTTCAGAATAGTGCCTGGCACCAAATTAAAAAAAAATGTGACAAATAGTTGATAAATGAGTGAATCTGCACCATCAGGCATCTATCTTACTCTGTACTGGACTGTCCCTTAGTCTGGATGCTCCCAGTGACACAGCTATTAACTCAAACATTGATGGAAGAGGGTTGTAAGCACATGAAGCAGTAGTTCTGAGAGTCAGGCTGTTGCTCAATATGAGTGAAGACAAAAAATAAAGACTTTAATGAGAATTCACTCTAAGGTAGGTGTTACCAGAGAAAACTGCAGACAGTATGTTTGCACGCTGAGCGGACAGAGAAACAATGTTAGTCTGATCATCTCCAAACTTGAACCAGGCTGAGGTGAGGGACTGGAGTCAGCCAGACCCTGAGAGACAACAGGAAATTTTTGGATTATTCAATTTGGATAATTGAAATAATATTGGATTATTACTGAGATTTGCTTACTCTTCTACTAATTACTCTTCTCCTAATAAGGAACTTGGCCTTGCCCAGATAGGCAAGGTCCCAGCTCCTGGAGGATCATCTCTAAATTCTTAGAATTTCCTGAATCATAGAAGTGTTTTCTTAATAAATAGGGAGCCCCTTGGATCACACCTGACAGTCTCTACCAGCAAGATAACTCAGCATCGGGCTGGCCTCACCCAATAGTCTTAGGGTAGAGGGTTGGCCATTCCAGAAAGAATAACTGTGACAGTTGTGATAAGGGCTGTGTTACATGGAATTAACCAACCCTGAGACTTAGTTCAACCATGTGGGCAATCAATCAATCATTCTACATAATGAAGCCCCAGTAAAAAGTCTGGACACCAAAGCTTAGGTGAGCTTCCTGGGTCGACGATACTCTGACAACGCACATCAACGCTGAGCGTGTAACCTGTCCCTGAGGACAATGGGAGCTTCGAGTTTGGAATCCTCCCAGACTGTCCTATGCATCTCCTACCTTGGCTGATTTTACTGTATTCTTTTCCTATAATAGAAATAACCATGTGTATAACAGCGTTCAAAGAATTTTGTGAGTCTTTCTAGTGAATTATGAAACCTAAGGGTGGTTTCGGGAAACCCTTAAACTTGAAGTTGTCAGAAGTAAGGATAGTGCTGTGTGGAGTCTTCCCTTTAACTTTGTAGTTGGTTCTTAACTCCTTGCGAATAGGGTCAGAAGTTTTGTGCAGACCTGGCAGTCCGGAGCGCTATGCCCTTAACCTCGCAGTTTGACTAATTCTGCATAGCTACATTTTGTATTGAGCAATTCCGTATGGATAAAATAAGTTTTATCTGCATGATGCCTAACCAACTAATCAGTTATATCAAGAGAGTGAAAAAAAAAAGTTAAAAATAGATAACATGGGCAAAACCATTGGAAAGGGGATTAAATGTCTAAATTTTGATGACCGCATGTATTGTTCGGAAACCAGGTATATGTGAGACAATCACTTTTAAATGTTTTCAACATAGGGGCTGGCAACACGTGATCATAATTAGTGTCAAGTGCTTACTATTGAACAGTTTCTGTTCTGAGTGTTCTACACATATCAACTCATTTAGTTCTCATAACAACTCCAGCTATTAGCACAGTTTATAGAAACCGAGGCACAAGGAGGTTAAATAATTTACCCTAGGTCACACGCTCCGAACCATCTGATTCCATAGTTCATGCCCTTAACCAGTGCCCCACGTGGCCTCTCGGAAGGTAATCACGTATTTTCTCTGATCTTACAGAAAGGCGTTAGTAAACTGGTTATCTTAATCCCCAATCCTAATCGTCTTTGTGACAAAGTAACATTTTTACATGAGCAGATGTGTATTTTATTTCTGATAATCCCCTTTCACACTGCGATCCTTCTCACATTAGGCAGGAAGTCATGGCGTCTTGTGTTGGAGGAGGGAGGGCACAATGAACACAAAAGAAAAACGAATAAATACATTCTTCTTTGCTTTCAAGCTTCAAAATAAAATTTGGAAACTTCCTCTGGAAACAAACAGAATGAAAGAAAAGGGTTTTGAGTTTGGGCTATGACTCTTGAGTTAAAAAAAAAAAGCCATGCCTTAAAAAGATCTCTGAGAATATAGGTTGATATAAAGACCAGTTCTGCAACCCTAGGTCTAATACACGTTTCTAGGTCTGTGGGAATTCCGAGGGGTGATGGAGACAAAAAAGAGAAAGTTAAGACATTGATGAAGATCTCTGTGCTCTACCTTCATACTCCCTTTCACCTGTGGGGTGAGAGGGTCCATATGGAGCCCAAAAGAGGTTTGTAGGAAGCTGAGAAGAGGAGACTTACTTAACTCCTGTCAGAAAGCCTGGATGACAATATCCTTGCAAGTTTCCACCAGGGCAGAGATAGCTGTGCGATGGTGACACTGGGCCCAGAGAGCCCAAACAGCCCCATTCTGCCAAATTGACATTGGAGTAGATGAATTGCCACATGCACATAAAAAGCATGGAAATTAACTGAGAAAGTCTTAGCAAATCTGGAGGAGTTCCAATTTTATGATAAAAAGAACACAGAACATGTACATCAACAGTCAGAAACCTACAGAGACTCAGACATCTGGACACACGGAAATAAAAATGCCACATACCAGACCCAAAACACTGCATCCCAGCAGGTGCCAGCATGCGCCAGGTGCCCCCAGCCAACCCAGGACAGCACTAAGCCTTCTATCATGCAGACATCGTCCCAAGGAGGGAGAGGGGGGAAATTTGAACTGATGCAGAAAATCCTGAATTGATTTTAAAAATTATGATTTAACTTAAAAAAAAAAAACCCTGTATTTGCTTAAAGTAAGTTTTCTGATACCAGGCAAAATGACTCTGTAGTTTAAAAAGTAAGTTGTTATAGAAAATAAAGCTGTTGTGGTTTGTACATCTGAGTAAATTGCAAAATGTTTACCTGCTCTGTCTCTAGTCGCCAGACCAGCTATATTCAATGTCTTTTCTGCTCCTACAAAAATGACGAATGACTTTCACACGTGTTACATACCCCCTCGGGCCAAGCAAGGGTTGCGTGCTGTTTCTAAGACCAGGAAACCAAAATAACACAATTGAAAACCACTCACCTGGATACTTACTAAAAGAAATAGCCGGGGTTGTTATGGAATTTGATGTAACCCTGAACTATGGGAATTTGCTACCAGAGGCACCAGAGGAACACATATTCCCTGTTAGGAGACCCTGCTGACAGTATATAAGATTGAAGGCAGGGACTGGCAAATAGTAGTTTCAAATAGGCACATAAACAAAGATTGAGAAATAGTAAACATAAAATAATTCATCTGGGCACTTTTATACACAGTGTGTATAAGATTTAAAATAACATTCCCAAGTTAAACTGAAAACATTACTATGTAAATGTCACAACTAAGCCAAATGAAAGAGTAAATACCAGCCTTGCAAATTGGTCTCCCTTAAGGGCACTCAAAGGCACAGGACTGCCTGCTGTTCTCTAAAGAAACGTCCTCCTCAAAATCAATCTTCTCTGTTTTGACAGCAAATCCATTGATCGGCATATGTTTCAGAATTTCTGAACAATTGACATTCAAGGCCTAACAAACGTTCGTTCTCCACCTTCTCAGAAACCTCATAGGAGCCACTGTGGCCAATAAAAAACATCATAAATCTAAGCCCCGAAGTGCATCACTTCAAAAGGAGAACGGACAGCCTCACTCCCCACATTGTTTGCGTACATCTGTGTCGGTTCTCTCATTGAATTGGCCTCGCCAGCAGGAGGCCATCAATCAGCAGGCGTCACCAGGCACAAGTGCAGAATGGCTTAATAGAAAAATGGAGTCTTTTTTATTCCCTATTGTCGCCTACTAACATGTAAGTTGCTTGTGGATCTCATCACCCTGAGTTATGTTTTTGTGAAGGGCTGAAAAGACCCAGCCTGCACATACTCTTGAGTTTTTGAAATAACGGCTTAGTGAACAGATGTATACTTTCTCCCAGCAGCAATTTGTGGAAATGAATTTTTATGAGCCCCATACATCCATGATTCGGCCCTGATTAAAAGTCAAGTTCAAACTAAATACCATTATCTTTTTTGAAAGAAATCTTAGGAAGTTATTGACACAAGGATTTTTGAGACTGAAAAACACGGGGTTAACAATAAGACTTTGCAATGCTTAACAAGCATTCAATAAATTCAACCCTCATTCCAAGAATACAGTTTTTGAAAATGGTGATTTTTGAAATGGATGTGTAATAATATAACTAGGATATAAAATTGTACTTTGTTTATAAAGTTTATTAAAGAACGTCGATTTAAAATAAATGTTAAAAAAAAAAAAAACCTTTGTTTGGTGAAACAATTAACAGGACAGGACAGATTCTAAAAGCCCAGGCTCCAGGTATAGACAGTCTACATGCAGATCCTTCAGATTTTAGCTCTGTGACCTTGAATAAATTACTTCATTTCTCCACTCTTCAGTCTTCTTGAAAAATTGGGAAAATAAATAATAGGTACTTCATAGAGATACCAGTGCCTGGCACATAATAAATGTTCAATTAACGCTAGTTATTAGCTGCATATAGGTAGTTAAGAGAAACAGTTAATGCACAGTTACATGCCAGTGACTATAAAAATAAGCGAAATCCATGCTTTGTATCTTATAATAAAGTTTTCTGCTTACTTCTGTTAACTAAAAAGAGCAAGGAGTTTTCTTATAACACTGAAAATATTATCCTAATGGTTCCAAGAAACTTTAACTAGGAATGTTTGTCACAGAAACGTCACTCATTGGCTGTTGTTGGAGAACACTGATTCTTGTCCCTGTAAGCTGTGTTTCCCATGGGGGGCTGTTCTGACTCACCAACCTTGTGATTAGTAAACAGCTCAATGTAGCATTGCTGATTGAGGTCTAATTTATTCAGTCAATATAAAAGGACTGTACAGAATCTCCTTAACTTAGCTAAAGGCATTCTTCGTTGTAAAAATGAATTTAAAAAAAATAAGGTGATCCTAACAGATTTACTTTAAAACACAACGCAGTATCTCTATTTAAATGATAACAAAATCTTCTGTCTGACAGCATTCACCTTACCTTCAGATTTATTCAGGGTTTCTGCAGCTTCAAAAGCACTTGAAAATCCATAATGTAGAGGGGGGAGGAAATGTATTTCTTCATTTTTTTTTCAAAAGTCTTTCATATTTATCATGTCTTCAACGAGTAACCGTTACAATAATTCACTGAGAGTATTGTAACTGTATAAACAGCTCGCACCGGCCCTATCCCATTTCTAACCAGACACTGAGTTGTTTTTCAGAGACAACAGAACAAAATGGGTCACACAGCTGAGAAATGTGCAGAAGAGAATATTTTGACCTCAGATAATACCCAGGACAAAAGTTTCACCCCCAAACCTCCCCCGCCTTCAGCAGAACCGAAGGACAGGGCATGGGATGCAGGAGAGACTGACTTTTCCTTTAATCCACCTCTGTATTATACGATGATAACAGCCAGCATCAACAATGTTTGTAATTTAGAGATATAGCTTTTTAAGAAACGCTATCATGGCAATGCCTAAGCAATGAGGTATATTCAGTTTCTTATAATGAGCTGTAATGGAGAAGAATCTGAAAATGTATCTATGTATATATATAACTGAATTGCTTTGCTATACACATGAGACTAATATTTTAAATCAACTATACTTCAATAAAAATAGGAACTTTTTTAAAAGAAGGAAGGAAGGCTTTGGAGGACCTGCAGGCTTCTGATTGAGGACACAAGGTCCAGTGGTGGAAAAAAACATGTACTTTGGATTCTGAGCTTTGCTACCACGGGGAGGTGGGGAAAGAGAATAAGAGGGAGAGAAAGAGACAGAGTTTATGTGCTTGTCCCGTTAATTCTATTCCTATGAATTCAATTCACAGGAAAATAACCATAAATGTAGAAAAATAATTATATAGAAGTACAGTATTTCATTGTAACACTTTTTATTATGTCAAAAATTGGGGGAAATATAAATGTCTACCAGCAGGAGAATGGCTGAGCAAATCATGGCAATTTCTATACAAATGCAGTCATTAAAACCATACTGATGACCTGGAAATACTCTTGCTGTTAAGGGGGGAAAAATTCATAAATAAAACTGAATATAGCACATAGTTACAATTTTGTAAAGGTACATATATAAAGCTAATACCCTAAGCTGTTAACAAAGCTTATCTCTGCAAACTTGATTTAAAAGGTGCTCTTTATTTTCTTCTTCATTTTTGCTCTGTTTTCCCGTTTTATGTAATGAATACGCATTCCTTTGAAATTAGAATTGAAGACATACTATAAATAATTTTAAGGACTCCTGGGAGAGGGAGAAGAGGCACAGAGCAGAGAAGTCAGTGAGCGGTACAAGAAAACCCACACATCCTTACCTCCCAGTGATGCTGAATTAAAAACTGTCAAGTAGGAGATGTTTTATCAGGGGTAGGAGACAACATAGATGATAGTGGAGAATATTTATACACATTGCCTGAAATAATCCAGCAGACAGAAATTGACAATGCAGAGGGCAGAACCTAGCACTGTGAAGTCCTTGAGTTGGGAGAGGTAACGGGGTCCAGTATGTGACTGGAGCAGTTGGCTTTAACATAAGCAGGGAGGGTTCATCCATTAAACAGAAAGAAAGGCAGAGAGCCCAGCTTCAGAGGCGGATTTGGAGTGAGAGGAGGAAGAAGTTGCACTCTGACTGCTCCTGTCTTCTTAGTGAAATGAGAAGGAGGATTACTAGTTAAGTATGAAGAGGGAAGAAAGGAGGTGTGAAATAGTCGAGTGCTGCCTGGTTTTTCTCTTTCTCACCTCCATCTGCAATGCAATGAAAAAATCCCATATTGAAGGAACATTTTCTAAACACTATGAATGCTTATCTATCCTATTAATGTAGATGTAGATATAGAACAAGGGTTCCTGGCCATACTGAGCTTACATTTGGTTAATAAAATAAAACACAAATGAGATGATCAGGAAATAATTCAGCCAACAGGAAAATGGTTTTCAATCAAGAGAATTACTGAATAAAACAGGTGCACGATTTACGATAGCAATGATAGAACCCCAAGGCCGTGGATGTGTTTATGTTCTCTAGAGTCATCCTTCTGAGAGCCTTCATGGCCTGAAACAAGAGGAGTTTATGTAGGTAAAGAATTCAGTTAGGGTTCAGGCTCAGAGCCAGGATGCTGAAGTTAAATGGAGGACAGTGGAATGAGGCCCGGGTTAGAAACAGAGAGCCAGGTAACACCCTAAAGGTCCTCTCTGGGAAGAGCCCTGTTGGAAAGAAGCAGGCAGCTCAACCTCACAGTTAAGTCCAGGGGCCCCCAGATGACCCCTAAACCCTCTCACTTTTATTTCCTCTGTCTGGTACCTTCTCTCTCTAAGAGGCATTCTTCAGCCCTCCTTTCCCCCACCAAATACACACACGCACACACTGTTTATCTTAATCATCCAGCAGGTCCTAACTCAGGTATCACTTCTCTAGGAAGACTTTTCTGGGGAGATTCTCTCACGTGACTCTCAATCTGCCACACCAGATCTAAGCTGTGTGAGGTCAGTGACCACGTTTCTCTTATTTACAGCATTATCAAACCAAACTTGGGTCCAATTGCCCGATACGCAGTAAAGTCAATCCACTGACATCAGGTTGTGGTGAAGGAAGGAAAGTACAGTGTTTGTCGCAGGGTAACAAGCAAGGAGAATGAGCAGCGAGTGCTCAAAAGGCCAGGACTCCCCAGAGGCTTTCCAAAGGGTTGTAAAGACCCAGAGAGGGGGGCACAGAGTGTAAGATTAGCTCGTGCACAATTCTTCTGATTGCTCAGTGCTGAGGTAACAGGGCGATGTTTTGGGAATCTTAAGCAGCCGCCTTCTGGTTCCAGCCAGTCTAGGGTCTACATGCTTGTGGTCAGCCCTCAGTTAACTCCTTCCACCTTACTCTCCTGTGTAATTAGAATGATTATTCACCAAATGGACGCTGTTAGTGAACTTCCAAGAAGAGGCTAAATTAACCAACCTCATCAGCTCACAATTACAATCAGGGATCTGTATCATTGTGCTCTCAGAGCATAGAGAACAGACTGATGGCAAAAAAAAACAAGAGAAAAAAAAACATCACAACAACAACCAATAACCCAGGAGCCAGCAAAGAAACAAAACAAAACAAAACAAAACCCACCCCAGGCTGCAGAAGCTGGGAGACATTTACACACACACACACACACACACACACACTCACACACACACTCAGGAAGACACTGGGAAACAAGAATTGTAAGTGATCCTCTGGGGGTCTGGGGAGGAAACTACTGATTATTTTTGGAAAAACATTCCCTTCCCCTGGGCTCAGAGAACAGAGAAATGGTATCCAGGCCTCCTTCTCCTTCTCAGAAGCATTCTCCTCCCTGAATCTAGTGTTTGAGGTGATTGAGCAGTAGAGAAAAACAGCATTTACTCAAAATAAAGCAAATAATTTTAAAAATAGCTTGCTGTCTGAGCTTTGTTGCCCTGTGGATCTCAAGACACCAAGCCAGTTCCCCCAGCCCTACACACTGGCCACATGTCTCAGGTGGAACTTTTCTGACCTCATCCCCTCTCCTCCCCCATCAGGCAGTGAAGAGGGCCAGCCAGGACCACAGTCAAGACAACACTCCCACAGCTGGTTTTCGTGCAGACCTCCAGGCCCCTCACACGTGCACCTTGGGCTCTGTCCACCTACTCTGCCCCACCCTGCCCAGTGTGGCCAGACCAGCCGACCCAACTGCCTCTCTTTTCAGAACCTTCCCAGGATGCTTCTTTTTTTTTTAGAGTCCTTTGAAATTCCATATGAATTTTAGGTTTTTTGTTTGTTTGTTTGTTTTGCAAAAAAATGCCATTGGGATTTCGGTAGTGATTGCATTGAATCTGTCAATCACTTTGGGTAGTATTGGCATTTAACAGTATTGTTAACAATATAAGTCATTGGCAGGAACTTAAGTGAAGGAAACAAATGAGTGAGTGCATAGTGGGCTGCAGTTTATGAATTCTGCTC